CTCTCTCTCTCTTTCGACATTCTCCTCGGGCTCGGGGCCGAGTATGCGCGAGGGGTCGAACGTGAAGGGCGAGAGGATTTCTTTAATATACGACATCATTGCCTTTTTGCATAGGGTGGCCATTCGTTTCGCCGAATATCGTTAGCATAATGCAGGGTTCTCCACCCCCGCAGCCGCGCTTTTCCGCGCCGCGCGCGATTAGCGTTCCTCCCCCGGGTCGCGCGGAGTGTTCGCCACTCGGCGGACCTGGAGGAACATACCGACATACGCACACACAAATACACACACACACACACACACACACACACACATACACACGATGGATAATGTGTAGGAATCGCTTCCGTAGGACGCGTATTATTTATCGCGATTAAATGGGAACGCGCATCGAAACGTTTTGGAAATTATGGAACGCGCCGGGGATTTATGAAGTGCACGCCGCTCGTAAAATTGCACAACCGGTCGCGGAGAAATGAGCGACGATTAATCTCTCGCTCTCTCTTCCTCTGCCCCTCCCCCCGCCACTCGATCCGGTTTCCGGGCATTCTCGCGCGGCGACATATCGTCGTCCGTTTGTTTCAGAGATTCCGAGAGAAAAGCTCTCGATCGCGCTCGCGTGCTTTTCGTTTTTTCCTTAATAATCCGAGATTCGACGTATCACGCGTTGCGCGAGCGCGCGAGGCGAGGCGAGCAGCTCGAAGAAGCAAGGCAGGAAGGAAGGATATTAAACATCGTCCGCCACGGCGCTTCTCCGTCCTCCTCGCAATCGAATTTTATGCGTTTGGCGAATAATGGCGTTCCCTTTTATGAGAGTAATCGAATGCACGTCGGGAAAAACCGCGCTCGCTGAGAGCTTCCTGCCGCGCGCGACGAACAAAAAAAGATCACGATACGACGACGACGACGTCGATTTCGCCCGCCACGCCGTATCCTTCGAATTTATACGCTCCTCTGTGCAACTTAAAAAGTAAAAGAGACGGGCAGAAGAGGGAGAAAATAAAGGTTGACATCGTTTGGTTCTCCCGAGGAAATAAACGTCGCTGAATCACGTCGCGAACGGCGATTCTTGAAAAAGTCTGCGCACTCGAGCGAATAAAAACCGCCGTGCGTGCCTTCCCTCTTCACACATACACAGGCACAGACACGTTGGATATTCAAGAAAATAGGGTAGTAAAATTGCGACCGAGTAATATCTCTAACCCTTCGGAGTTCCCGCGTATATACCGCTGATGCGCGCGTCTTGGCAATTTTCGGCGAGCGGAAGAGTCAATTTTTCTCTAGTCGTCCCGATTAATATCGCGGCCGGCGAGTGCTTTACGATCGTGTGCTGTCTTTGATGCACACAGTTTTACGGTTGAGCCGTGAAAGTTCCCTCGTGGACTCGAAGTTTCCATCAGGAGCTCGCGCGAGTCCGTCTAATCGTTGATCATTTCACTGATTCAACGGGCGAGTCGCTCTACCGGCGCGAGTTGAGAGATTATCCGCAATTATCTGAGAGGAATTATCTCCGGCAGTTAGAAAGTGGACTAATAATGGCGAACGCTCTGTTATTAATAAAAGATACGACCGACGAACTCTCGCTGACGTTCCGGAGACGCGAACAATGTTCACGAGCTTCTGATACCTAATCCTCGATTAGGTGAACGAAAGTCACTTTTCGCAGCGTCTCGTTAGATTTATCGAGACAAATGCGTCTCCGAAACTCGTGAGGATCCTTGTCTTGCTCAAATACGATTATTTCGATCGATCGTCATTGGTGTTTAACGAAAATACTCCCTCGTCGCTGACTCTTTCTCCTCTTTTTACCAACTGCTCGGCGTCAAACGTAATACAGAGACTCGAAGGAAACACGATTTTTGTAGCAGTCTTTAACCTTTAGAGGACCGGCATTTTTCCTTTAAAATTTACAATTCTTTTCGCGGAAAATTTATATATATATATATATGTAACCATCATGTCGCGTAGAGTTTTCGAGTTTGTTAGTGGCTCCCATAGAAGCCACCTCGGTCCGGAACGAAACGACCGAAATAAAAAATTTTCAAAATTTGGATCTTGGCATTTTTAGGAGCTCTTTTATATCGCAGATCATCATTTTGATATCAGATTATCGAAATTTTACAAAGAAAGGCAATTATTTACCTAAAATAAGTCTATATTACTATAAGTAATCTCATACGGTAATAAAACTTTCCTTTAGCATGACCCAGAGCTAACGACGTGGACGTAGAAAATTATGTACCTCTTTTGTTTTTTTTATATTTTTTGTTATTTAAAAATATTTTAATTTTTTAATTTTTTTTATAATTTTTTAAATTTTGGTTTTAAAAAGTAATGAAAATTATTTTATTACAAAAACTATTTTTCTGTATTTGTATATTTACTTGTTACTTTTAGAGTGATTGTTATCACGCACTGTGCGCAATCGAAACTCTAATAGTGTTGTGTGCTGATTTCATATAATTCTGAAAGAAAGTGAGCCTGTTATAAATAAAAACGTACTGAGATGCAAATTACTATGCAGTTAAAATGTGTACTTGTTAATAAATGTTTATTTACAAGTATTTAATAAATGTTTATTTACAAGTAAGATAAAAATCACACGAGCACATGCAAATATATTTTTAGAGCACGTAAACATCGACATAAATGCATAAATAACTATAATATAACCTTTAAGAAAACACTGAATTATGCCGATTTATATGTGGCTCCTATAAGAGCCACTTCGGTCCTTTGAACGTTAACGAGAAACCGCGATTTGGGAAATCCTTTGGTGATCCGGATGAAACGGATACACTCGCTTCTGATGCGATTAAGTCGGAATCGTGTCCCGTTAAAGCCCGACGTTCCCTCTCCCTCGAATATTATTGTTTATACCCTGCTTGCTGCATCGTCTACGGTCACGACGACGACGACGACGACGACGACGACGACGACGACGACGACGACGACGACGACGGCGCGGCGATTATTCTTGCAAGCGCTTTCCCCGAGTTTAATTGGATCCCGCTAAAAATATAGCCTTCGGTGGAGCTCTCGGCGGAGCGTGGCATTCTTAAAAAAGCCTCGCGCACTCGAGTGAGGTAAAAACCACAGAGCGCCGCCCGCGCACCGCGCTCGGCGCGTCCGATGTCCGTGGAAACGGGATAATAAAACAGCGAGCGGCAAACGCGTTTAAGCGAATTCTACGGTATTTAGTAACGCTTGGCGGAACGAGCGAGCGGGGAAAGGGGAGAGACAGGGGGGAGGAGAGAGAGAGAGAGAGAGAGAGAGAGAGAGAGAGAGAGAGAGAGAGAGAGAGAGAGAGAGAGAGAGAGAGAGAGCGAGAGAGAGAGAGAGAGAGAGAGAGAGAGAGAGAGAGAGAGAGAGGTGGACCCAGAGCAGACGGATCGTATGCAAATCATGACGGCGGCGATCGTAAACCTCGCTCGCGCGCTCCACGTTTCGAGTGGGAAACGCTCCACGTTTCCCGATGTGGGAAAATACCTGTACGACATCGGGCGCGTTTGCACGCGCGCGACGAACGGACAGACGGAAAGAGACAGAGAGGGAGAGAGAGGGAGGGAGAGAGGGGAAGTCGAGTGAGTACACGCACGAGGTTAAACGAAGGCGGGCTTTGAAAGCGATCTTATAGGGGCACGTGTTTATCGAATTTCCATCGGGCGCGACCAGCGATCGGATCAGGAGTAACGTTCGCGTAATTAATTTGTCTTTAATTGGCGGATCGTCAAACGCAAACGGTATCAGCCGGCGCGTTTGCAAAAACGATCGTGATGGCCGATCAAGCACGGGAGCGCATGCGGACCGAAGCGCGTTTCAGCTTTACGAGTCGCGTCGTTTCGTCGTATTTATATTTGCTGTACATCCGGCAGGACGAGCAGGGAGGAGGAGGAGAGCCGTCGAGTGCCCTCCAATGCTCGGAATTAGAGGACAAACTGCGAAGTCTTGCGTTTGTTCCAAAGACAAACGGCCGTGTTTCGCGGCGCGAGTTTAGCGTGTACCGTCCGATTTGGCATGTTTAACCGTATAAGTGGCACTTCATCTCGCAAACTTGAGACGCGTTTAGCGCTAAATGCTGAGTCGGAGTCCGAGAAACATCGGTGATTATTACTAAATATTAGGTGAGCGAGCGAAAGTCCTGAGAGGTGGATTCTGCAGTAGCGAAATGGACCGAGTGATTTTATCATTAGAAACGACCTATTCGTTCCACCAAGTGATCGTCGTTGTTTTTTTATTATCCAACGATTTGTGCGCATTTCCATATTTGTAAGCATCGCCACGAATGCTAAAAGTTTCGCACTCACTCGAAACACCGAGCTCGGCCGAATCGAAATTTCAGGACATGCGCGCGCCGTGAGCAAATGTTAAATAACCAATACGGGCGAAATTGTTTATTATTTGTTTTATTTCATACCAACTGATTACGCAAAGTGCGTTTGTCGCGAAATTCGACGTGCAATCGAACTGAGTTGCGTAATTAATGCATCGTTTGTTGAAATAAAAAATCAAGCGAGATTAAAAACGCACTGGACTGGACCCTGTCGTGCGAGGCATAATTAAATATTCAATATTATAATCCTCATAATATTTATAAAACATATAAAGCTGATACTCTTTCGAAGCGTCATGAAGCGACAGCGGCAACTATTCGAGCCAACGAGAGACAATAATAGGATGTATGACTTGTTACGCCCCTCTCGAGGTCCCCCATCGGTCCTGAATTTGTTCGACGGAATTTGCAGGGTTAACGTGTAACCGAAATTCCGACTCGGCCGTAGGATGTAACGCGAAACGGAAACGCGCGATTTCGCCATTAATTTCGAGATCGGACGTTTCGTTCCGACAGAATTTTAATTCACATTGAATTAACTTTTTAATTAAAAATTTGCCCCGGTTTTCTTCCGGTGAAGCGCGTGCAGCATGATGAAGCAGAGAGAGAGAGAGAGAGAGAAAGAGAGAGAGAGAGACGACGGCACATAAAAGTGCAATTTATACAAATTAGCGGAATAACAACGTGCGTTATTCAATCTTCATCTGATATCTCTCCCGTTCCACCTGTTCTCCTTTTCTCGTCGCATCGTGTAATCGTTCTCGACATCGCACGCGGTGACGTGTATCGTGCGTGCCTTTTTTGCACCGTGCAATCGCTGACAGGATCGCCTCCGTTTGCACGAATCAGTCGCAAAACCGTGATCGCAATTTTTCGTGTTTACCCTCCGCCCCTATGAGAGAGCGGGCCGTGCAGTTCCCTGATTGCCGTGCGCGCTCGGGGCCAGCAGAGGCGCCAGGAATTCAACCGGCAACGGGAATATGATCGTCGAGTTCTTCTCGCCGCATACATTGTTTAGAGTCTGCAGGTATCGCAGCTGCCGGCACACAAGAATTCCAAATATGACGCGGGCGGGAACCTTTTTTCTCCGCCTGTATTATCTTTTAATTATTGCACTCGGCCGGCGGGCCGGCCGGCTAGCGCCGATTCTCGTTTAATTGGACCGCGCCGTAGTCGCGCAAATGCCGCGTTGCTAATAAATACGCAGCGAATAGTCAAATAAAAGCTCTCGCATTCCGCGTGTTTGTTTCCATCCCCGCCGCCCCTGTTTTTTTCCCGGTTCCCCGTGCGAGCGACTCCCTGCGCCGGAAGCTTCCGTTTGAAGGGCGAAAGAGACCGAGCGAAATCATCCCTGCGGAAGCGGCGCTCGTTAATTAGCCGAATTGCCCCTTGCCGACGCGGCCGCACTTTGCGCGAGCCGCTCGATCGGAAGAAGAAAGGGATAATGCGGATTCACGGAAAGCGAGCGATTGTCTCTTGCGGAGTTATCGTGGGAATCGCGTGAGAGTCGAGGCAGAGCGGAAAAGCGGAAAGAGAGAGAGAGAGAGAGAGAGAGAGCGGCAAGGATCGAAGGGAGGAGAGACGGAACGCGGCGTGATGCGCGGCGCTTATGGTTCGATAATTAGCGGCGCTTGATAATTAGCGGCGCAATCCCGTCGGACAGTCGCCAAGTCGACCATCGCAGGGAGGAAGTGATAAATAGCGATGCGAGCGGGGCGGGAGGCGCGGGCGCGCGAGTACCTGCAGGGCGGCGGTGCTCGTGGAAATGACGTCGCCGGCCTCTTTCAGGGAATGGGAAGCTCGCATTTCTCCTTCCGCCGCAATCACTTTGGCCCTCGCCTCCCGCGCGGCTTCCGCCTCCGCGGCCATGGCTCGTTGGAGCTGCACCGGAAGTCGGACGTCCTTTCTGAAGCAGAGGCATCCGTTAGATACCCGTTTCGGGCAGACGGGCGGAGGACGGGGGCGGGCAGTGGGGCAAGGGAAGGGGGAGTGTATCGCGAATTCACGTGGACGGAGGAATGCGCGAAGAGCGGCCCTCGGGACCACCGGCGGCATCCAACGCCGTCGGTGGGGTCGTTGTCGCGCCGTGTATACGCGTTCGTTAAATTCCGCGTCGATTCTCCCGGCCGCGTCCGCGGGATAATCTTGAAAATCTGATATCCGACATTTCGCACTCTTGCTCCAGAATTTCATCAAATAGGCCCGTGCGTCGATTTGTTCTCTATTTTTTGTTTCTCTTCTTTTTTCACGGAACATTCTTACTTTGTCATCGGGCTTATTCGACATACGAGGGCAATCTGAAAAGTTGTCGGCCTAACGATGAAAGAAAAGTTTTTCGCCGTGAAATATGTTCTATTGTTCAATATAATCTCCTGAAACTTCGATACATTTATTCCAACGTCTTTCCAATAATTCAGTACCGTCATTAAAGTGTGATTCCGGCAGGTTCTTTTCGCTCTGGTGCATAGTGGTGGATTCAAGTTTCATCAACAGTTATGAAACGACGCTTGAAATCCACTTTATTTTGCTTAAAACGATTAAAATGTGCCAGACACGCTTGAGAAATACGCATTCGAGTGCGTTTTTGGTCAGTTGTTAGCAAATGCGGCACCCATCTGGCACAAAGCTTTTTCAACTGGTGCTACTACTCGAATGACTTGACAGATCGAAATAAAATTTTACATGGGTTTATATCAGGGATGCCACTTTCCAGTACAATTATAGTTTGACAGTTTCTAATGCCATGTATGTGTCAGGTCGAGAACTTTATTCAGACTGCCTACGTATATGCCGATTTATTTCTGTTTTACACCGGCCGTACGCGTTATAGAAATTCGATGAATGCTATTTACACACGTTGTAATCACTCTTTCGCGTATGTGTGTGTGTACACGATGACTATCGAACGTTCGCGGCGAGTCTATCTTGCCATGACATACGAACGCAAAGAGAGTTAATATCGGAGTAGTAATATCGCCGTGTTGTGCTAGCCGGGCGGCCGCATGTGTGTGTGTGTGTGTGGGCTCTGCAATATATTGTAATCTGATTACTTCTTAATAACTCTCCGTCGATGTAAATATAAGCGTATCGATTCGTTCTGCCCGACTACGAAATTTTATCGGTTACGCGGCGGGCGGACAAATGAACGGCCGAGCGAACGGACGGACGGATGAGCGAGCGAACGGTCGTCGACCTGTTTTGCGCGCGAACGCGGATTCGGCGAGCATTTAAATTTTAAATCGCGCCACGCGCGTTCGTGTGTTTCCTTTCCCCTCTCTGCCTCTCGCCCTCCCCTCACCCCGCTCGCGGTCAAGATACATTTTGGTTAGCGCATCATTTCTATCGGGTCACGCTTTACGCGGCGGTCGTTGCGATTCCGAATCGCTCGTCCTCTAAACGATCGCTTCCCTTTTATTTTTCGCGCACGACTCGATGAAACTTTTTACAACTTTAGACATCTTAGCCCCGACGTGTGGCAATCAATAATGTCGCATCTCGTAATTTGAGAGAAGGAGAGCGCGGAAAAGCGCTATATATCTCTCTCGTAAAATACATTTTAAAAAGTAATGACGTATGTAACTCTCCCCCTCTCTTCTTCCTCTTTCCCTCTCAATGGAAACAAGTAATCTTCCCATATACGCACTTAAAACGATGCATCTCAATTTCCGCCTCTCTCTCTCTCTCTCTCTCTCTCTCTCTCTCTCTCTCTCTCTCACCCCCCTCATTCCATCTCTCTTTCTCTCTCGTCCATCTAAGTAATCAACAAATTAATTACTGAGATGGGTGAGCTGCACCGTAAAGCGGGGCCGAGGGGAGGGACGAAGGAACGTAAATACAACAGCCGTTCTACGTTCTCTCGCGGGCGCGACGCGCTAAAACATGGAGGTAAAATATTCACATCTCGACCCGCTCGACTTTGACTCCCCAAGGATCCGTTGCCTCGTCCAGGGCGGTCTGCATGGTGTGGGAAATGGTCTCCCGCTCCGACAGGATCTCGGCGAGATTCCTCGTGCCAAGGACCGTTCGCAGCGTGCTCGCGGCCAGTAACCGCGTCGAATGGCTGGAAAAGTAAGTGAAGGGGGTTGACTCGCGGGGAGGGCTGACTCGCCGCCGCGCCGCGCTGTCGGGGGCGGTAAACCGTGAACGAGCTGGCCGCGCGCGCGCGCGCGCGCGGTGCTATTAAACCCCTGCGGAACGGACGCCGGACGTCGACACGCTGTCGAGCATTTCTCGTGATTTTTAACGCACCAGGAACAGCAGCCGCGCAAGCCATCGCAAGCAACGCGCGTGCTCGGCAAAACTCGCGACGACGGCATTATGCGCTATAAAAGCGTTATTACGATGGTGTCGCATTACGCGAGAGCATTCGTCGCGTTAACGCCTCCATTACAGCGCGATGACAGCGCCGAATATACGCCGTCTCCGCCGGAGTGAGGAATTATTAGGGGGCTGTTTACGCGATAATTAACGCCGGCGGCTCTTTTTTGTCCTTCTTTCTTCTTCCCTCGCGTGAAGCGTCAGCTTCGTGCCGCGTGCCGTGTTCTCTGCGCAGCGTGTTCGCTCCGAGTGTTCGCTCGAATGAAAATCCAGCTCGGGAAGTTTAGCGACGGACGAGTCGCTCGAACACGAGGGATCTCTCGCTCGTAGAGAGCGAATCCATCCTCCGCTCTGAATCGCCGAGTGAATAGTTCCGCGTGAAGTCGGAGTGAATCGGACGCGCGCAGTCGGCCGATTAAAGGTCGCAAAGCTTTCCCTCCCATGAAGAAGTGCAAAGTGTTGCAGGCTTTAATCGGCCGACTGTGTATTCCCGCCGTTTCATAAATTCGCATACTAGTTGATTGAAACGCGTTGATTCACTCGCGAGGATAAAGAGCCCGCTCGAAGTTTGGGTTAAGCCTTTGAGCTCCGATTTCTCAAAGCGTGCGCAGCAATTCCCGGATGGAAAATGACGTTTCCCTGAATTCTTCTGCAATTTCTCTTACGTTGAGAATGCTACGTAGGCAGTCTGAAAAGTTTTCGGCCTAACGATGGAAGAAAATTTTTTTGCCATGAAATATGTTTTACTTTTCAATATAATCTCCTGAAACTTCAATACATTTATTCCGACGTTTTTCCAATAATTCAATACCATCATTTAAGTGTGATTCCGGAAGGTCTGCAAAATATCCATCCACGGCTGCAATAGCTTCGTCATTTGATGCAAAACGCTTTCCAGCCAGGAATTTTTTCAGGTTTGGAAACAGATAATAGTCAGAGGGAGCCAAATCTGGTGAATACGCTGGATGTTCAAGCAATTCGTTGAACTTTAATTCGTTGAATTTTGCCATTGTCAAAACACTTGTGTGAACACGTGCATTGTCTTGATGGAAAACGATTCTTTTCTTCTTTAGAGCAGGTCTTTTCTCACGAATTTTTGCATACAATAGATCCAAAAGGTTACAATAATATTCAGAGTTAATCGTTTTATCTTTCTGAAGATAATCGATCAACGAAACACCTTTGTAATCCCAAAAAACTGTTGCCATAACCTTTCCTGCTGCTGGAACCGTCTTTGCCTTCTTTGGTGCACGTCCACCGGTGCTTCAATCCATTGTTTCGACTGTTCTTTTCGCTCTGGTGTATAGTGGTGAATCCAAGTTTCATCAACAGTTATGAAACGACGCTTGAAATCCATTTTCCGTTTTGCTTAAAACGATCCAAACACGCTTGAGAAATACGCATTCGAATGCGTTTTCGGTCAATTGTTAGCAAATGCGGCACCCATCTTGCACAAAGCTTTTTCATATGTAATTCTTCGTGCAAAATATTTCCAATTCGTTCTTTTGAGATGCCTATAGTCTCAGCTATTTCACTCAGCATTTTCACTCACCGATCATCTAATACCATATCATGGACTTGTTGAATGTTTTGTGGTGTTGTAGCAGTTTTTGCCGACAACCTTCGCGTGGATCATCTTCGAGGCTTGTACGACCAGATTCAAAAAGAGCAGCCCATTTTTTCACAGTGGAAAGTGAGGGTGATGCATCCTTATACACTTGTAACAATTTCGGATGAATTTCTGTTGGTGTTAAACCATTCAAAACAAAGAATTTAATCACTGCACGATATTTAATTTTTTCCATTTTAAAAAAGACAATGACGCGTCAATATTAAACTGGTGCTACTACTCGAATGACTTGACAGATCGAAATAAAATTTTACATGGGTTTATATCAGGGATGCCACTTTCCAATACAATTATAGTTTGACAGTTTCTAGTGCCATCTTTGTGTCAGGCCGAGAACTTTTCAGACTGCCCTCGTAGAAATTCCATGGATTTGGTGCGCTCGGCGGATTAAATATTCGCAACATCGTTCTTCGCGTCTAAAATGGGAGAAATGTTATCTGTTGGAAATTATTAAAAAGCGAGCTTCCGCGTAGGTAGGTAATAACGTAGGTAGGAAATAATTACCTGAGATTTGATTCTTTCACAAATTGTTTCATAAACTTAGTTAGAACTAAAGTCAACGCACACGCGCAATGTTTACGCTGAAAATCTACTGGGAATTGTGTGTGAACTTCACGCAGTCGATTGATTAAAAGTTGCAACACTTTTTTCTCGGTGAGTCTCACAACGCATTCCGCAATCCAATAAGAAAATATAATCTCTTGAGAAATAAAACCAAATTCTATCGGGCACGGGATTCTCGTCGAGAGATGAGTGATGCAACCTTTAATATCAGTCGACGTTCCCCACGGACCTGAAATGAATATCGCGGGATAATCTGCTCAAAGAGTCAAACATTCCCTCGTCTAATTCCGAATGACGGTATATTTACTCACGAACGAGCTGCTCTTCGAGCGGGACTTCATTTCGAGAAATTTCAACGGTGCCACGCGCGCAGACGCGCGCATGCACACGAACATGGCGCGTGTCGCGTCATTATTGCGCGTCGTATCAATTAATTCCACTCGCGACGTAGCGCTTTCAACGGCGCTCGCGCTGAATAAACCGAATTGTTCCGTCGCGACGAAGTACGTAAGTAGCGCGAAGCCCGTTGCCGCGGTGCGCCGTTGCGGTGCCGAAAAAGCTCTTAACGTCGCTGCAATCAGCTTACCTTCGCCGCGCCGGGAACAGGAAGCTTACAGCGAGCGCGACGCGGCCGCGAACGGGCTGACCCGGGAAAAAGGCGCGCTCAATCAAGTATTTAAATGCCGTGTCGACCGCGCGCGTGCGCGCGCACGGCAGCAGGAAGAACCGAGGGAAAAAGCCACGGCGGGGTAAAACGCTTCCGCGGCAGGCCGCGGGAATAAATCTCGAGCGAGACCTCAGACGGAATGCAGACGCGGAATCGGCTAATTGACAGAGACCGAATCGATATGTCAGTCGGCTGAATAAAAGGCTGCAACGCGACGCGTGTCGTATCCAACAGGGGAGTAGATTTGCCGAAAGACAAGTTCTCTCACATTGGACGCCCGGCGCGGCGAGACGCGAGTCGCGAGAAACTCGTGGAAAAACGTGACGGCTTCTAATCAGCCGACTGTGCACGCATGCGTGCACGCATGCGTGATTGCTCAATTGGCGATTTAAAGCCCGACGACTATTTGTCTCGTTTTCTTGAGATATCTCGCCGCACCTCCGTGGTACCTGTAGTTCGCGATTTCAATCACTGCGCTCAGGGGCTCCTTGATGCGGTAATAGACGACCGCGTCGACGCTCACAGTCACCGAGTCCTTGGTCAGCACTTCCTGCGGCGGCACGTCGAAGGACACTGTCCTGAGATCGACGCGCACGCAGTGATCGATGCACGGCATGACGATGAAGGTGCCTGCGGAGGAATCGAACGGGGACTCGCCGTTCCTTGCGTCTTCCTGACGCGTTCGCTACTTCGCGCTTTCGGTATTCGGAAAACTGTGCCCTTTATATTTCTCGAGGAGGGAATGTTTTATATTATATTGAAAAAGTGAGAGAAACGTTACCAGAGTATTCATGAATTGCATTTTTTTAAATGAAACCTTTCAAACTGGAATGAAATATTGCAAATATCTACCTGGTGCGTGCTGCGTCCATTTATTTACGCGGACATGGAATGAAAATTTGCCGCAGTCGCACGTATCTGACATCGGTAGCGAAAGCGACAATTAACTTGAGGGAGGTTGACTTGAGAAAGAGAGAGAGAGAGAGAGAGAGAGAGAGAGAGAGAGAGAGAGAGAAAACGAGCCGGCGTACAATGGGGCCAGATGACATTTTTTGGTTTAAAATTCTCTAGAGACCTGAATTTCCAACCGATCATCGACACCAATGGATAAAGTTGATCCTGAATAAATTCCAAAGAGATCTGTCCAGCCGAAATTTTGAAGAAATTATCGGTTCAGAGTACATGCACGGAAAAATACATTTGCTAATATAGGGACAACTAAAAATATCAGCTACAGAAGTAAATTTGCTTGCTTTCACAGCAAAGGATTTAGTTATGATATCCAAAAAATTTGCTAATGTATGATATTAGCAAATTTTTTGCTATAAAATCTTTTATAGCGAATAAATCTTTTGCTATAAAAGCAAGCTTTACTCTTGCAGCTGATATTTTTAGCTGTCTATATATTAGCAAGTCTTTATTTTCCGTGTGGGTTTAGGGTTTGTCTTGAAAGTTTATCGTTTAAAGTACAGTGTCTTGGGTTCGACCTCAATGGGTTCGAGCTTATGAATACTGAATGCGAGACCCCAGAGCTTATAATCACTTTTTAGAAAACTCAGAATTTCAAAGCTCATCATTTCAGCCCACATTATGAAAGAATTAAGGATTAAAATCCTTCGGTTTTATGCTTAACGGGTCTATATTTGATGTTTTTGTATTTTGGGCATATGAGTTTTGGGTTAATGGATTTCTAGTTCAAGATCGAGGTGTCCGTTGATTGGTTTCATAGTTTCAATCCGCTGAATACGCTATTAGATAGAAATAAGTGTCGAATAATGAGTATTTCACAAGTTTCTCGCGTTTAACGATCATTTTTCCTCTTTTGGGGCTGGTAATCGGAGAAAGAAATTTTTTTTTTAATTTTGGCAAGACAGATCTCTTCGGAATTGATTCAGAATCAACCTCATCCATTGGTATCGATGATCGGTTGGAAATTCAGGTCTCTAGAGAATTTTCAACCAAAGAATCATCGAGCGAGTCATCGAGACGCAACTCGCGCGAATTGTCACAGCCGATCGGTGGATTTACCTGGGCCGCGAGGTCCGCCTTTCAAGCGACCCATCCGGAAAACGACGGCTCGCTCGTACTCTTGGACGACTTTGAACAAGCAGCAGAGGGAGAACGGCAGCGTAATCATTATCAGAAGACACGATCCTGTCGTGGCGAGGAATTCAACTAACCTCGTGATCGCGTCTGCTTTCTCAGCGCCGGCCGCGCGATAATTACCGCTCATGGCTGCCCCCGCTTGCGTGTAACGAAAAAACGAACGGAAATCAAACTCCGGACGTTGGCGCGTGAAACCTTCTCTTCTCACTCGCTTGTGCGAATTATTAATGCTTATCCAGGCGAGCAAAGTCCGTTGGACCCGCCGAAGCCATTTCTCTTGTATAAAAAAGAAAATTCGTACTTTTGTCTAAGATGTAATGATTCATTGTTTTGAATGAATTTTCTCATTTCTTGGATTAAATATTTTTGAAACTGTTCTTATTTTGTACGAATATATAATATCTTATATTTTATATAAAAATTTTAATATTTTACATAAGTGAATATTTTCGATATATACATTCTAATCCAATTGTCTTTTACATCTCTCCTCTATAATTCTAAATACTTCTTACATTCTTACTTGAATATTTTTATTCAAATAAAATTTGAATATATTTTCAAGACACTTTCGCTTCTTTGCAATTTTGCCCCAGCGTGTCATAAGAGTAGCTCCACCAGATAAGGATTAACCCGCTGGGATATCTCGGGGACAGCGTTAATCGGAGACTCGCGATTACACGCGCGATTGCGATTAGCAGTCATGCAACGGAAGATCGATGCGACGTCCCGAAGTGATTCTTCAATCCCCCGTTTTGTCCCGGGTGTCCCCGGGCGCGGAGACTGCGTCTAGTTTTGCGCGAATATCTTCGAATGGAGCAATAGCTGCGATTTCCACTGGCGAGAGAGATTAATCTCGAGCCATCACAAAAGTGATTAGGTAAAAGCGGGGCGCGATGCGCTCGCCTGATCCCGTCCCTCTGTCGACCCTCCCAGCGCGTTGATCGTTTTCTTTTCAACTATATCCCAGGCAAAGCAATCATGCAAACGCCTCTTACGGAGATCGCGCGCGGTTAAATTGCGCGTGAAATGGAACGTCTGGCAGAAAAGTAATTTGTCCCTTTCCGTCCATACTCCCTCTCATTAATTTCATTGCGCAGGTTTCGCCCTCTGCCCGCCGGCCGCCCCACGGCGCGAGAATTCGTCGCAGCTCGCAGGAGATGAAGAGCATTCGTCGAGCACGGCGATTTCGCTCGGTCGAGTCCGCGGATCGACGCGATCGATAAACAAAATCGCCGAGCTGCGAGCGACGACGTCGCGCGAAACTTTCGTGTTCCTCGGCCAACGGCCGGAAGTGACTTGGCCGAAAGAAGCGAGCGATTTATCTTCTCATAGCTGGCTGCCGCGCGTAATGTAGCGTACCGTGTATCGTAAAGGACCTCCCTTCCGCCTCCGTTGGCCTCCGTTGGCGCTGATCACCCTCCATGTGGTTTCGCCGAAACGACGTCCTTCACTTAAGCAGGACACGCGGGATCGATCAGCGCGCACAGCACCTGCTCGTGTTCGTCGGATTTCTCCCGCTCGTACCGCTAAATCCCACGGGATTCCGTCGCTTTATTATATACGCGGGATACGTGTATATATATATATATATATATATATATATATATATACGTGCAGCCGGTCGTCTTAACGACTTCTTGCTGCGTAAGGGAACGCGCTCGATGATCGAACCGGGAGGACGAAAAAAGCAACGGAAGGTGAAAAAAAAGGGGGAGGCAGGCAGAAAAGGGACCTTTTCCACTTTGATCGCGCCGTTATCAAGTCGTAACGTTATTCTCAATCGATCGGCCGCTATCGCGAAGCGCCAAGCATGGCGATTCTCGCGATATCGCGTTTTAAATATTGAACGGGGCGTCCCTGACTGTTCGAACGGATCACTGAATTTCCCGGTTCTTATGAGCTACATTTGGCCCCCCGATCATGTCGTTGTCGCGCGCTTTGAATAAATTACAGTTATGATGCACCAAACTCTGGACACGCGTGTGATTGGATTTTCACGACTCCGCACGGAGAGAAGAGATTGTTTCCGAGCCAATGTGACAATGAACGAACTAAGCTCGGGTCTTGAAGGAGACGAGATTTCTCGAAATTTTTCGACACACTCCCGCTTCTTTCAGACCAACTGCGAGCTCGGAAGTTTGAAAAGCCGTGAGTTTGTCAGTACCGCAGGTACCGCTGTCTCCGTGTTTCGATATTGTAATCCGCGTTTTCGTAACCTTACAATATTCGCTCGATCCTTCTTAAGGCCCGCCGGCTCTCTTCAGCTCCGATCGCGAAGTCGAACGGCAGCGTCTCGCGCGACCGGCCGACACGCACGTCGCTCGTTCCTGCGCGAGCAGTTCCTGCGCTCCGGAGAACGACGAGGACGACACTAAAAATTCGCTCACCTAAAACACCGCGCGCGCGGCGCGATCCACTCTAAATTAACCGACGAGCGCGAGCCGGCGACGTCAACGGCCCTCCCGCCGCCGCCGCCGCCGCCGCCGCCGCCGCCGCCTGCCGCTCTCGCTCTCGTTCGCTCGTGTTTACGAGCTGTGTGAAGTTCCGTGAAAAGGCAGTATAACCAGCTCGGACGCGACATACGAAGCTGTTGAAAAAGTAAATTATTCCCCTTGCCCGCCGCGCGATGTTATAACAGCCGGAGCGCGGCGAAATCTACATTCCAGATTCGCTTTACTCGGGCGCGCTCGCGAGTGCGCTGGGTGGCACGGGGGGAGGAGGGGGGAGGTCGGGAGGGAGGGAGGGGCTTAATTAACGAAAGGGGTGAAATATGTAGGAGGCGATTGTGGAACGGACACGTTAGCGTCACCGGAAGGCAATTAAATTCCAAATTAGGTAGTTAATGTAAACCGTTTCGTGTGTGGCCGACGTAAATAAGAATGCCGCTCGCTGCGCGCGGCAGTACACATAATATATTCGTCGCGGCACATCGTGATGTTTCATTTTCGCACCCTTCGGTCCTCCCCCCTCCTCCCGTCCGCTTACGACTTTGCCGATTCAGTCGGGCTCCGGCGGCGACCGGTGAGATGCAGCACGCCGGCGGAGTGTACAGCCGCCTCTCTCGAATCGTCCGCCTGAAATCCGCCGCCTCTCTCGAGCGATCTCCCGAAAGAAAGGAAATTGCTCCGCGATACGGAATGTGTTTCATATGAGCCGGATGCGGCCCGTTTGATCCGTTCGTTGGCGCGCTCGTCCCATCGATCTCCCGAAAGCAGCAGCGTTCGTCCGCTTCTTAAAGTCGAATTTCGCCCGTACGGGCTGCGATGCTCTTGGCAAGAGCGGGGCGCTTCGACGTTCCTCCGGACGATCCCCGGACGATTAATTGAGAGGGATCGTGAAAATTCCGCTTTCGCCCCGCGAGCTTTCCTCGGCCGCGTAAGCCGTCGCGCGTCGAGGAGCTCGCAGCTCGGCGCGGTTTAGTGTGATTGAATAATTGCGTTGTTCCAGCACTGTCCGGGCTCTACCGTTGTTTCCGCCGTCCGTCTCTTCTCCCCCGTTCTCGCCGTTTCCTTCCCCCTTATCCCGCACCCTCTCGTTCCGTTCGTTTCTTCTCTCGTAGTTTTTCCATCGCTCGCGCGCAGTTAACTACGCAGTTTCCGCGCGGATCGCCGCGCGTCTTTCTTTCGCGCCGTCCGCGCGCGCGCGTCAAGTTCTCCCTTTCGTTACTTCGGATCTCTGTGAATTATCCAATTTTTCGCGGCCGGCAAAAAATCGCGGACCCGGGGCGTCGAGGTCCATTAGACTAATGAAATCTCATTCGCGAGATCGCGCGCCGCGCCGCGCCGCGCCGCGCCGCGCCGCGCTGCGCGAGGCCGGGAAATCCCGCTCCCGTATTTTCGAATCGCCGCGATCGCGCACGGTAAGAGCGTCGGATCCGCGCGGTTGTGTTCTTAACGCTCATAGCTCGTAATGATGAGGTCAATTAATGCGCGGCGGCGGCGGACTTGGCCGCGTTCGCGCTGCAATTAATCCGGGTATTTCACTATACGGCTGAGGTATCCGGCCGTATAGTGCCGGTGATTGCGTAACGCACACGAACATCACCGGGTCGTGTCGGGGCGTTGCGATACCGGCACAGCCGCGCGTTAAGTGTATCGCGTGGACATTGGCTGTTACACAAGTCTGTAAAGTAAGAGCGTGTACGGCATAAATGGCATTGGCTTCAAATATCGTCCTAATTTTTTTGTGAGCCGTTTATTGCGAGGCATATCTCAAGCACAAGCTTCGAGGAAAAAGAGTGTGCACTTTGAAGCAGCTGACACGACAAATTCGTCTCATTCGGAGGTCTTTACCGAACGAATACGCAGTCAACTTAGTGGAAAGTATGCCTCGGCAGATGTCAGGCAATTGTCAATGCCGGTGGTGACTGGACTCATTATTAATGGTATAGCGTTTTTCTTCTCATGGATCACAACAAATCCATGTACTTAAAAATCATTAAAAATAAATTTTTCTACACATTAACCCGTACACGCTCTTACTTTACAGACTGTATTTCATATCGGCGATCTAATGTCGCATTATTGTGCGCGTCGTGTGCGAGCGCGCTCTCTCGCGGAATCTCAAAGCATGCGGAAAATGCAAAGCGGAGAGTGCAAAGAGAAAGCGCAGCGAACGGCGAGAAGTAGTAGGCATTGTAGTAGCCAGGTAGGATATTGAGATAATCAAATATTAAATAATGCTGAAGCGAATTTTCTTTTGAGGGCACTGCAGCGCGGGGAAGATGGAACTATAAATAATCATTTATCACCTGATTATATCTGCAATTTGTTGTAAAAATCATGTCGCTATTTTATGAAGATGATGTTGAACGGCAGAGTTGTCAATTTATCAGCATCAATAAATCGAGCGCTAAACTGTGTGCGTCTTTTACCATCAGAGTCGCTGAGCGAATTTTAATTTCTACACGAAATAAATTTCTATCGACAGAAATATGACAGATGTCGGAGAGTTTGGGTTGAAAATAGGCGGAAAATCGCGATTCCGGCAGCGTTCTCCAAGCTCAATGCGGAACTCGCAGAGCGGAATCAGAATTTCGACTCGAGCTGTTGCCGATGTATTCGCGATGTGTGAACAGGCGCGAGACGTTCACGTCGAACCGGCCGAGCCGGGCTGCGTTCGATC